AAACCCATTTTTGATTATAGTTTATGCTTATTATTGTTGCATGAGTCAGGTATAGGTAGTCAGATAACATTTAGTCATAACATGCTGTATGGAAACGAAGCACAATCCAAGTAGAAGAAAAGAAGAAGAGAAATATTGTTATCTACACACACACGATGTATATCTTAATTGTGTAAATACATATATAAAATCGTCAAAATATTGTGTTTCATTGTAAATGAAATTTAATATCTTAATCCAGAATACGTTGTACTGATGGTAGTGTTCATTTTTCATAGATTGCAACATTCTAATATGTGTGACATATTCCTATTGAGATTTCTCCTCCCGTATGAGTTCCTACTATTCGTATTATTATTATTTTACAGAACATCGAATATTTTTCTTATCTTCTGTAACGCCAAATATTAATTTGTGTGTCATATCACATATGCGGAAAAGGAAAAAGGAAGAATAACAACAACGTATTATTTCTTTTTGTGCTGTACAATATTATCATGGAAGGATAAAAACGAGGAAAAGTCTCATCATCTCTACACTCTCTGTACCAAGAATTATGCTTGCTTCGAAAAAAATTCGTCGTTTGGAAACTGAAGCTCTTATACGTTCTAAGGTAGTCAATTAAAATTTCTTTAAGATAATTATATAACCACGGCCTTTTTGTTTATTGAATTCATTTGGCTACAAGGGCATGGTATATTAAATATCTTTAATCAATAAATAATAAGGCCGTCGTTATATAATTATCTTAAAGTTATATGAATATGTCTAGTAAGGATAATATAAATCTTAAAATTTCCTTGTTTCGTACTTTCATTGCTGCTTTGTATAGGAATCTGAATATAAGCGAGTAGAATCGCGAAATAATCGAATCTCAGATGATGTTGATGATGATGGGAAGCGTCGATCATTGATTCGACAAGCAACTGCAATGCAACGAGAAATTGAGTATCAACAAGCATTATTCGATAAAATGACTGAACGAAAAGCTGCATTACAAGAGCGTCGAAATGATTTAGAGAAACGGACAGCAGCAGGTAGTACATTTTGTGAAATATATTATCATGTGTTTATAGCTAATTCTATTCGTTCTAGCTAACACAGCAGCAGATCATAGAGCAACCTTTTTGACTAGCGCTCGTGTAGACAAATACGGTGGTAAAAGCAAACATTAATAATGCATAAACTATAATCAAAAATGGGTTTGTTTCTATATTATCCGTGGGTGTATTTTAAACTTGGGACATATTCTATTGTTCTTAGCCTACGTAACAGTTTTTTAATAAAGCAAAAGCAGAGATTGTCGATATAGTTTTAAATTTAATCAATCGAACTCTGACTGGATCAGAACTACGCACCATAAGTTTCGCAACAGAATTCAAGATATTTTTTTAATTGAATCACAAGCTTGCTGTTTTGCTATTGAATTATTTATGCACAAGGTCCGTATGATGTTCCTTTTTTTCCTATCGCTGTTTGGAACAGGAATACCTAATTCCGCTACTTAAAAGTAGAAAGACAAAATTTAAAACCGAGATTGTGTGCAGCACTGCTAGACACAAGAGTCTGCAAACATTTCTTCCGGAAGGCTGCAAATACTTTTTCCGAACAAGAACTACGTGAACAAGCGAAGAGTTGAACAATATGCCATTGACTGTGTTAAAGTGCGCTATGCTTACAACGAAAAATTAACCTTTAAATTGCTATTCTAAAATCTCAAAACTTGGTTTTTGAGACGTTTTTCAGTATTTTTCCGGGAAAAATCTCAAAACATTTCCCAAAAAGTTCCGCAGTGGAATGACCTTGTGTACCTCTGGTAAAATTTTAACTTGATCGGATGACATTTAAGGGAGCTGTAATGTGGCACAATGAAAAACTGATGAACGACAACAGTTGAAAACTTGAAACAAAAACGAAAAGTGCTTCATTGAGTTTCCAATCAGTTCTGAAAATACGAAGCCCTAGCGACTTTTAGTTTTTATTTCACAGCATTTCTACAGAAAGCCCAAAATGAGGGGAGGGATACCCTTAAATAACAATGCATTAATTTTGCCCAAACAACGTTCAGAATGGATACACAAAACACGCTGCCTTGACTCTTTTGATCTTACATAAAAGCGCTTAATTTTTCTTTCTTTCTGCCACACCATCTATATATATAAAGAAGAAAGTTTGTTTGTTTGTTCTCTATGCATTCAGTCCCTGTAAGAGCTTAAGCAAGCAAAATTTGCTTGCTCAAGCCCTTATAGAAATTCGAGGTCGAATTTCCAGAATTCTGGAAAATCGAGGTTGAATTTCCAATTCGATTTTCTAGAATTATGGAAAATGCTCAGTGATTTTCAATCTGGAAATTCCTCGGCGATTTTATATATGGA